ATCGCCGGATCGGCTTTCACCGTGGACGAAGTGGAGTCCAGCCCGGGGTCATCACATGTGGTTGCCGCAAGCCTCTTTCGTCGAATCCGCCGGGCGCCGCTCACTCAAGCCGCTTTGTGTTTCGTTGTGAAAGCGAAACTACTTTGTTTGGCCTTCCAAAAGAGGACATAATGTTTCTATAGTGGGTAAGTTGTATTTACAACACTGTTCCAGAACACACTGGATAGCTGGCCAATCAGAGCACACCTCGCTTTTCAGAACGATGAGCTTTGTAAAAAATCGATGCGTTTCAGAAAGGCGGGGCATAGAGGAGAAACAATAATGTACGTTATGTGGAAAATAATGTGTAATGTGTTTTCTACCGCATAAACACATTGCATTACACCAAATACACAAAATATGTTCTTTTTAGCAACATCATATGACCCCTTTAACCAAAGTTCTGATAACATTTCTTGTAAGCTTGTTTTACTTTGTTTTTGTGATTAACCTAAAGCAGAATGTGTTTTTACACAGGTCATTCCCAAGGGCCCACAAACCTCTTCTTGCAATGTACAGTACGGGAAAAGGCTGCAGAAACGCTCGAGTGGTGTATTATGTGATTGAAAGCGGGGCAGAGAAAGCGTTGAGAGCAGCCAAGAGGGTCAAAAAGTTTGGGCATTCCTCGACTTTATGCAAATATCGAGCAAAAAACGCCGGCGACAACACTGTGCAAAGAAGTAGATGAAACGTAAACAGGGTGTAAACATTGTTTTCAGAGGTGTGCTCTTGCCATAATTTAACACGCCCCGAAAGCAGTGGCATTGTAGCGTTGCCAGCGGCGCTGAGCGCAGATTTGACGCTGTAGTGGAAACGCACCGTTAATGCCTGTTTGTGAGCGCAGTGCTGCTTTGTGTACAGCGTTACCGGGAAACAGCTATTTTTACTGCTCCAAAAGCGGCACCTAGTGGCAAAGAACGAATTTGCAGTTTCATTCAGACCAATGCAATAAGACCAACAAGGGGGTGGGCAATATGCTAATGTTTTATGTTGACATCAACATGAAACGACTTGGGATTCGTTTTAAAAATGACTCGTTTCAATGATTCAGAGTCGACTCTTTCTTTTGAGAAATAATAACTTTATACACGGTGCACTTTCAATTTTAAAACTTTGCAGGATGTTTTCATTCACTTAGAACTGTGTTACACACTGCATGAAAGGTAATTTTCAAAAATCCATAATAGGGGCACTTTAAAAATTAAAAAATACCAGTGTTAAGTGTGGATTGTATATTGTATGAAGTATATTGTACAATTAACTGAGAGGCAGACCTTCACACTGTCAATATGGGGTTTGATATAGCCGTCTTTGTCCAGGTCCAGAACGTGAACTGGCCCAAGCAGTGGACTGTCTTTAGGAAATGCAACTGCTCTCACCCGCTAACTCCCCACTGCAGGCGCTCTGTTTCTCTGTAGCTGTGAATAGCCTGAGTGGTGAAAGAGAAATGTACCAAAGAATTGGAAAATGGGGTGAAAGTAATTAATAGCCAACGGCCAATAATTAACAGAAAATTTTTTACAAATAAAATGTCCTAGAAATGTTTACAACCTTATTTAGTTTTAACAACAGAGTTGTTTTTTATTAAAAGGTGGGGGGGAAATGCAGTCAAGACATGTAATTTAAGTTTAGTATTTGTTTGATGTAATCGTAGACTAGATGGATCTTTAATTTCAATGGAAATTATTTTAGTTTTACTTTAGGTTCAGAGTACTGGGACTCACTCAGTACTTAATAATAAAACGTAATAAACTCTATTTTATTATGAGTTTTTTTTTTCTCGAGGGAATGAGCAGCACCAACAATGACAAAACGACTGTTTCCAAGCAGGTTTCCCAAACACTTCCTTCTCTTCTGTTGTTCAGACAAATTAGCCCCACCCACAACTTATGGGATTGGAAGAGAGCGCCACCTGCAAGATTTCTGATTGGCTAACACGCGGGGGTTCACGTTCAAATTCTTTATGCTTTCAAATTCTTTACACTTTCAGGGCTTTCACGAAGAAAAGTGTTATTAATCAGCAGCACACCTATTTCACTTATAGTAGGAAGGGAACGTTTTCTAGAAAGTCTTGTGTTCACTTGGAAAGTACAGGTAGTTTGGAATTAAACTCCAGAAACAATACCCATAACATACGACCATAAAACGTCGAGAGTAGCAATCACAAACAACAGTTACAATATGAGTTTTGTTATGAAATGACACTGGATAGCAGTATTTATTTACAATATAGCCAGAACACACTTCTCCGTTTTTACATCGTCCTAGTGGTCAAATTCATATTGCTTTTTTCTAAGTCCTGTCTCTACTTCTTTGAAAAGGACATTCTCCTCTTCCTCGCTGATGAAATTATGTCTAACTTCAACATGTCCATGCACTACGGCTAAAATTTCCTGAAACGATCCAAACAACCATTTACACTCCTCTTTGCTCTGCTCTCAGGGCCTTTTCGTAAAGCCGAGCTCTCCGATGAAAAGGGATTTTGGAAAAATTTCCTCTGTACTTGTTTCGATACTCTAATTAGTAGTGTCAACCTGTTGAGTACATATTATGATACTTAAATATCCACTATATCAAGCGTACCATTGTCACTACTGTCATTGACAGGGCGCCATTTTGAATTAGCTAAGATTTCTGGGACTTGAAGTATTTGAATCAAATCGCTTCAGCCCAGCAGCGGTCCGTCCAGCATTATATTCAGTGCTCAATGACAAAATACAATTTTATGGGATGTTGTGAGTGCAAGAAGCAATGGTGATCCAATAAAAATAACAAAATGTAGCTGCAATTTACAAGAAAATTATTTAAATGAGTTATAAAGTTTAATTTTATAACTGTTATTTATTTAGCAAACGAAGATGCATGCAGCTACAAATACACGTAAACGAGTTTCATTTGCCCTCTGTTGTTCCCAGTGAGTAAAGAAGAACATTCTACTCTAGTGATGGTCTATGTAATTGCAGTTCCACTTTTCAACACTAGAGAGCACCACATGACTATTGCTTGCTCTGATAGATAAATATGAAAATAAAAACCTTTATTTCTGGGAGCAAACGCATCCTCTTTTGATTTCCTCCTAACATGCACGATATTTAAAAAAAAATTCCTGTCTCTTTCTATTTTGCCCCTTTGCTGAAATGTCACATTTTAAATCTATAAAGTAACCAGCTTTAATTTCCTGCATGTTTTTGTTAAATGTAAAATATCTCCCGCTTCCCTCCCCCTGCTGGCTATTCAGTGTTTCTATGGTAAATATTATAATCCAGACTTGTGACAATACAATCCAAACCTATCTCCAGTGACTGTGCTTTTTTCAGACTCTTATGTCACTGTTCTTTTAGATCTCTCTCTCTCTCTCTCTCTCTCTCTCCCAAACGCAACATCTGTCATTTAGAAATTTTCCGAATGGAATAACAGCTTACTACATACTGAATCATGTGCAGTATAAACTGTATAAAGCCTGCTATTTTTACTTAATTGTAAGTGAAATTACTGCATGATAAATATTTTGTGTACTGGTATGATCACATGACCTAATCGCATTGCATGTTTAATTCAGGCCATAGTGTTCGGTTGTTAAATAAAAAAATTTCACTTATTTAAATTTATTTTTTTAATATCTTAACATTAGCAATACAATTAAATAAGCCAAGAAAGAAGCATTGACAATAATGCTGATATATTATTTCAGATATCATGCAATTAATCACACTAAAAATGGAAAGTCAAGTAAAGCGCATTGTGGGATACAGTATTATGTGCAGTAAGCTCTGTTTATATTCTGCTCATTACTGGCAAATGCAGTAGGTCATCAACCGCGGCGGCAGCAGGCAGGGCGGCCCGCCGGGTGCTCCGAGAATGTACAAGCAGTCAATGGCCCAGCGAGCCAGAACTATGGCCCTGTACAACCCTATACCGGTGCGACAAAACTGCTTCACTGTCAACCGATCTCTGTTCATCTTCAGTGAGGACAACTTTGTGAGAAAATACGCCAAAAAGATCACCGAATGGCCATATCCTTTTAAACCCCCTCAGTGAGTACCCTGTGACCTCCAGTTGCAGGTATAGTGCACTTGATTGTGGCATAGGCCTATGTTAGGTCACCTGAAAATGTCTTAAAACACGAATCACATTACTGGTAGCTTAATGATAGCTTTGAAGAAAAAACGCGCGCGAGCTGGTGAATTGATCGCAGACGTTTAATTAGAATATTTTCAGGCGTTTATTTGTCAAGTTATTTCGGTGGCAAGATGAAGCGAGTCTATTTCTGGTGTGTGCTCGGTGTGTTACGTACGGCCGTGAGGTGAGCGGTGGCTCGCGGAGGCTTGCTGATGTCAGCATGTGCAGTCTCTCAGCTTAGTCTCATTCGAGAGAAAGCGATGGTGAAAAAGGGAGGTGAGGGGAGGGGGAAAGCCACCATTTCCCATATTCTAAGAGCTCCTGGAGAATACGAGATATATGTGTGTACTTGCATCTTTCATAGTGCACCTACTGAGCCTAATGTTTAAAGACAAAAGGGGTTGTGTATAGAGAGAATTGGAAATTGTTAAAGCAGTATCACAAGGCCGCAGGTAATCACATCAGTGCTGATGTTAAATACAGCGTGACAATGAGCATGATATTGTTTTTATACATCAGCTTAGTAAACATGTAACATACTTAAAAAAAAAAAAAAAATATTGTCTAGTTACCTCATTGGTTTATGGCAACAAATTGTTTACAAAATCAAGCAGCACACAGACTGAAAGCTTGTCAGGAATGGTGTATTTGAGTGGAGAAGAGTGACAGAGTTGGCTACTTCTAAAATCGCGTACTGTTAGAATATGTATTGCATTTGATGAAACATTTACTTCTCTAGTGTTAATAAACTAATAATAAACATTTGTAATAAACGTTTTAAAAGTGTGCAACCATTGAGCAGATCCATTGAATCATGTATGTATTTTTGACTTGGCATGTCCTGAAAAGACCATGTTTCACCCTTAATGGTTCACCGAAGCTTAGTGTTTTATATAAAGAAATCTTTAGCTATAAGCAGACTCCAGAAGAAGTTCACTCCCTGCCTTTTCTAATAGACCTCTTAGGATTTAAAAATCATTAAATGTGGACAGAATCGCACCCACACACACCTCTTTTGACATTGTATTTTGATCTGCCAGAGCTTTCAGTGACCTTTAACCTTGCACTCGACCTGAAAGCCACTCTTTCTACAAGCCTCATTCTTCTGATTTATCTCATGTAAACATCGAATGAGGCCTTGTGATCAGACATTATGAATTGCTGAAGTACGAAAGAGTGTGTCACATGTAGATTAGATGAAATGGTAGACTTAATTTATGGTTGCCAAACATTGCATCCTTTCTTTCACCTTCTTTACAGAGATAATGAAAGTCTAAAAAGACATTTGCGATGCCTACATTGTCTCAGCCTCTCTACGCTTATGAACAGTCTCTCTGCACTGTAAATGGAATGTAACCTTAATAGCTGTGTTTTCTATTTTAGTTTCATTGACGACTATGAAATTGCAGCCTATATGGAGTGCAAATAGCTATGCACATCTGTCCAAAGAGACCCTAAATATGTGCTTAGTTCTCTCAAAAAAATGTTAAAGTCAAGAAATGTAAATTTAGTCATGAAACATGTTTGTTCCTCTGGTCTCATTGAAGTAAGAGAGGCGCATGAATGTTTTCAACCACAAATAAGTCGATTGAGTTTTGAACTCAACCATCAAGTCTAGCTTTCCACCAAAGAATGACATATAGAAAATAATGAGAACTGAATCATATCAAATATACTGTGCTATAAATAGATGAGTTGGAGGAGAAGGCAGAAAGAGTGGTTGAGTGGACACCAGAGGGAGACAGACTGATAGAAAGAAGTTGTCGTGAGTCGTGAGTATAGGGCTGTGCAATATTGAAGAAAAATGCGATATGCGATAACTCATTAAATAATGCGATATTCGATATGTGATACGATAATGCTTAAAGTGCCACATGCTCAGATGAAACAGTTTTACTCAGCTGTTGCTGAGTCAGTTCTGTGAACTTCTATAACTATCTTGTGTCATATATATATATATATATATATATGGTTATTTGTATGTATGTATGTATGTACCAAGAGTTCCTGTAAAACCACAACAAATTCCTTGTGTTTGCGCACACTTAAGTGGTGAATAAAGCTCATTCTGATTCTGATTCTAATAAGAAAGCACCCCTACAACAACTTATGAAAGTGAACGGTAGTGTTTTACTCGAGCATTACATAAAAATGTCACTTTAACATTAGTTTAATCATTTTAACATTAGTTTAGGAACTGAATAATAAAAAGGAAAAATAAAAAACTGCTTAGAATTTACTCTTTGAATTCAATATGCACTGATTCTTATTTAAGCTACAAAAGTTATGTAGGTAAGAGCAGTGAGTGATTTTGTCTTTGTCTTTTGTTCATGGCCCCAAATATTGCAAGCTGTAGCGATATGCATATTGGGATATGTACATTTGCGATATTTCGATAATTTTGATATATTACACAGCCCTAGTCGTGAGCCCTTGCAGTTTTGTGTAAAGGCGTTGCTCTACATTCAGTCTGCAGAATTTAAATTATTTATTTTCCTTTTCTTTCCCCTTCTCTCTCAATTCCTCCTTCTCATTTTTTTCAAGCAAACTACTGTTTACTTATAACTGGCATACAATTTTTTTCAGTCATGGTCAATGCCAGCATTAGAATCAAGCTAGTTTTGTGTTAGTAGGTGCTGACATATCCAAGTCTACTATTAGTGTTTCAGTGTTTCAAAGAATTATGGTACAATCTGGTATGTACACACAAAATCACACGTTTTCTGACATATCAAACCTCTTTTTTCTGTATCACAAGCATGTCTCTTGCTCTCTCCTGTTTCGAGGTTCCTGTCAGGCTAAAAATAACAGTGGCGGACTGAAAGAGCAGTTCTCAATGGCATGTTCTCCTTTCCTCCCGCCCTTCTGCCTCCTTGGAGTCAGTCCTCTGTTGTATGCATACAGATGGGCCACAGACAGGCATCGCTGTCTAACCGCATACTCCAATGCAAGTTTGGAGGAGAAATGGAGACTGTAGTTCTCTAAGAGGGCTGCAGAGTGTCTTTAAATTAGAAAAGAGAACATGCTGCTTAGACCACTAAATCTGTACACAGTGTTTAGCGTAAGTTTGTCAGAATTATGTGCTCAGATATTTTTCTTCTCTTGTCTATTCAGCAGTATCTGACAAATTATAAGACACAAATGTAAAGTGGTTATGTGTACAGGCTGGATTGTAGTATTGATATTTCTTGGCAGTTCATGTTTACTCATTCTAACACTTTCTAATAACTTACATCTGATGTGTTTTCAAAGTTGTACAGGTGCATCTCAATAAATTAGAATGTCGTGGAAAAGTTCATTTATTTCAGTAATTCAACTCAAATTGTGAAACTCGTGTATTAAATTAATTCTTGCACAGATGTATTTGATGCATCCACTGATTGGCTTCAAGTTGCAAAATAAATTTTGTGTAATGTGTTAGTTCACACATATCCAACTTTATTAATACTTTAACCCCCAGTTTTACAGACAAGGCTTAAGCCTAGTCCCAGACTAAAATGCATGTCTGGGCTGTTTTAACTGAAAGAAACTTGCACTGTCAGTGCCATTGATTTGTCTCAAGATGCACATCAGTAGTGTTTTTATCTAAGGCACATTTATAAAAGCCACTTAAATGTCTTAATTGAACTATGGCTTAATTCTGGCTTAACCTAAGCCCTGTCTGTGAAACCAGGCCTAAGTGTTATGTACAAGGTTTAAGATGCCCAACATACAGTTGTGAAACACAAACACATCGTTGACATTGTTGTTCAGAGTTTTCTTTGTGTTGTACATAGACTATATGTTGGGTTATTATAGTTAACTAAAACCAAAACCATAAAATGTCCATTATTATGTAAAATAATTCAAATGAAATAAAATAAAATAAAATGTTTTATATAGCTGCCAAGGCAACATTTTTAATTTTCATTTAGTTTTACTTGTACTAAAAGAACTAAAGCTAAAATAAAAAAATAATATAAACTATACAGACATATTTAAAATAAAATCTTAACAATGACAAATGCACAAGCATTTATATACCTGGATATACACGTGCAAACTAATATGAAAGAGATTCTGAGAATTGAAGAAAAAGTCTTTGAAAAAGATGGCAGGATGTCCGTGTCTAAATTATTTAGGTTGGAGGCATATAGATGTACACACCTTAATGCAAACATATCACAAGGCTACATAAGCATACGGTTTTCAGTTAAGCATTGATTGGTTGATTGATTGATTTATTTTTTTAATAACACACGTCACATAATTGGATTATAAACACAGGCTTCAATGGACACTTCAGCTCTTCTTCTCCCCTGGTTCACAGCATCACAACATGTTCCTCTTTGTCTCAACAGTGGGTATGATGGGATATGACTGGATGATAGGATTGTACTGTCATCTTAGATCCTCTCTTCCATTTGGGCAGCAGGGAGTTAAATGTGTCATCCTAGATTCATTCACACAACTGTCACTGACTCTGTCTCTGCCACTCACTCCCTCTCTCACCCTCTCTTCCTGTCTCAGTTTATAGGCATGATTGTAAAAGATATAAATATTGGATTGTGAATATATATATATATATATATATATATATATGTTCCTCAGTTTGTCTCTCTGGTGGTGAGGTTAGGTTGTGTTGGACCATTGTTGCATTACACTGCCCACATTTTGGTTTTGAATTTTCACATAAAGGTGTAAATGTGTATTGAGAAGGTGTGCAACAACATTTCTGAAAATTAAAGGTGCAGTAGGAGATCTTGGAAAATGCTAACTTTAGCCTGATAGCACTGAAAGCCAACGTCCCACCCTCCCTGCAATCCCCGTCCAAAGCCACGCCCCCTGAACGCATATATACGCTCACAGATCAGAATACCAGAGACAACATTACTACAATAGGCTACATCAGCGA